CATGCGAGCTTACAACGAAAGTGACTCCAATGCAAAAATGTAACGGAATTGGCACATGTACTGTGTGCGTTGAAATATGTAACTGTTCTTTTTATATAAATTTGTACTTAACCGAATATCCATCTCTATGCTAATTTATACAACAGCATATATGATATGATGATCAGAGCCGTGATAGCTCAGTGTCCGGGCGCTCGCCTTTAGTTCAATATACTCGAGCGACCTGAGTTCGATCCCCGGTGCCGGCACAAATGAAGTTTTTAACTTTAAGTGCTGACTTATCGCGGTGAAGGAAAACATCGTGAGGAAACCTGCATATTTTCGAAATAATAACAAAAACAAAATCGAAGATATGTGAAGTCCGCCAATTCGCAGTGGACTATGCCCTAATATCCTCTCGATAGAGGAGGCCTTTGCGCAGCAGTGGAACATGTATAGGCTGTTACTTTACTTTACTTTTTATATATGAATGTCAAATATTGATAAGTATTTTGAGTGGACGTTATTGCCACATTTCAGCGGTTTCACCACAAATAAAAATTTATTCACAAACAAACCAAACATTCTAATTCATAAGTATGCAATATTAAGAATTCCTTTTTAGCGCGTTCCCCTCCGTTATTAAGACGAAAAAAATCTTATTACACGACCCGTTGTAATATCGTTAACGGGATACCATGGGCAACACTTAATTGCGCACCTGCAAACAGTAATCTGCTTTTGTTTGGGGATTATGAAATCTTCGCGATGTTCAATTTTGCCCCGCCCTCCCCGCTAAGTAGTCGGGCGAAGACTGTAAACATATCGCCGAGGCAATATTAACCGCGGGGCTTAATCGCGGCGGGGAGGTTTGGCGAGGGGCGATCGGGGTACAATAACATAGTTGATTCATTTATTTTTTTTAATAAATGCTGACGCGTCCAGTTATTATTTAAACTATTTAATCTGTCATACCGTGATAGGTTATTTAGAAAACTCTATAAGTATACAAAATTTTTTTTCTTATTTGAATACATACAAAAGTTAAAATAACTAATTTTAATGGGAATCGGTTCAAGGGTATAAAAGATGGATGAAAAAAGATGTTAGTATAAAACATAATCTATGTATACTTATAAGGGGTAATTGATATGAATGAATTTTAATTGAATTGGGAGAAAAATCTCGATAATCGGTGAAATGATGCTGGAGTTTAGCGATTACATATATACCTACTTCCACTTTTTATACATACAGGTAAAGCACTCGACTTTAACTATTTAATGCTAACTCTTTACAGCAACAAACTAGATTTACTTATTACAAATTCTATTAATCGATTATTTCAATAATACATAATTAAATGAACGTAATATATTTTAATTGTTTATGTTCTGACTAGTGTATTTTTTTTTTATAAAACATTGCCCTTACTTTGGGATAACATTATCATGTGTTGTAAGGACCTTTTTTACAAATATAAACTTCACGCGGACAAACACCCAGATGCGGAACAACTATCTGTGGGTCGCACAAATAGTGTATGGGTTTCGAACTAGAGAATCGACCGAAGAAACACCGAAATGCCTACAATGACAGACCGTTGAATTGGTTGAAATAAAACCCTAAAATTAAATCAAAAGGCGATAGACTTGGTTATTCAAAAATAGGAAATTAATGAATCGTTACACTCGCTAAATTCCTCCTACTTAATCAAAAAATGATAAAAGTAAAAAAAAACCCTTTCCATTGTCTGAAACCAGGTAATGTCGGTTCGTTAACTTCCGCCGAAGACTTTGGAAACAAAACACTCGGTAACGAAACACGTACCACGGTTATTACCGCCCTGATAAGGGAAGTTAGCTAAAGGGCGTTTATCGAACACAGCTGGTCGTGAATAGATTGCCTTAAGATGAATCTATAAGGGGACCTCGTCGGTGAATAATTTCCATTTAATACGGTATTAATGTACTGTTCGCACCCGATATTCAATTCATTGCTTATGGTTGAAAAACGTAACAGTGCTTACATCGCATTGATTGTAATGAATATTACTAGAATTAGGATATTGTTTCGTCAGTATCGAATTATTTATGCTTTGAATTTAAACGAAAATGCTAAATACAGTTGCAGAAAGCGATACTCTCCGTTTTATACGAGCTCTCTTTGCTCGAGAATAATCGAACTAAATCCCAAGTGTCTTTTCTTCGTGTTTTGCCAAATACAAGGGGCGCGAAGCTTACGAAATACTCATTGCTCAGTGCAACGTCCGCCTGTAGCGAAATGAGTAAAGTTTACGCCGTCATTATCGGATCCGGCTGACAAAGGGTGGCCTTTGTCGACGCGCAATTACCCCGCCGCGGCGAACAGATAAATATTATCGCCTCGCCAGCGGCTGAGCTTTGAAAATCCTAAATTACAAGCGCTCGCTTTATTCAATCCTGAAGGTAGCTAGACAAAGATAGCACCACTCTTGTAATGTCCCGTGACATAATCGGTAGTAACCCTTATCGGTGATCTCATAATAAATCCGTAAACTTTGAATTTCTTAAATTACTAACTTATTTAACTGGAAGCTAGTGTAGTAGTCGAGTATTGTTGTCGGGAAATTTCTACGCGGCCGACATCGAGATAGATTCTCCTGAGCTTTTGTAACCATACGCGTAGCATCGTCGTAGCGTAAGTCTACATCATTTGAACACATCGTAGAACTAACGCGAACTGACGCACCGGTATAAAAATAGTCCCGTAATCACTATTAACGTTATACTACTATTAGAGTTGATAATGGTAACTAAAAGAATTCACAGAATAAAGTTTGAAAAGTATACAATAGTACCGCTACGCTCGTATATCAAGGCGGCTACGATATTCGCAAATATTACGCACTAAGATTACAGTTCTAAACCAACCTGACTTTTGCCAGCCTAACCATAGAGGAGCCAGTGATGTACTTTTGGGCAATTGTTCATATTAATTACGAAGTCGTAACCTCTCTAGCGAGTGCGCGCTGTCTCCTATCCGACGTCTACGCGCCGCAAATTGCAATTTTCGCCGTCCGCAAATTGCACATCTTCGGCCGCGTCCGACCCAGAAGCGGAAATGGGCGAAGTCGCTTCGTTAGGGCTCCGATTGGGGCCATTGTAGTCGACGCTTAATCGCTCCCGGACAATGGCCGATGACGCGGCGTAATTGTGCCTAAATAGCGGCGCTTAAGCGGCCGGTGCGCAGCGCTGCGCAGCGCCGGCTCGCTCGATTTTAATTGCGCTTACGTGGCGTTCGCGCGTCGCTTAATTTTTTAAATGGCGTCCGCTTAATGGGTCCGATTCGTTGTTTTCGCGGTGCCGCCGGTCCGTGATCGAGTGCCATTCTGCAGAAGCTTCGATGACGTCACAGCGGCGCGGCACTTTTTGAAAAACGAAAATGCAATGATACAAAAAAGTGACGCGGAAATAATACAAAATGTTTTCGTTTCACTAATTTTTTTTTGTACAATAGTTACATTGCCCTTTTTTCTAATTTCTACATTTTAATATAAATCAACGTAATACCGAGCGGTCCATCCAGGTGCAGATGTTTCAAGAGCTTCCATAACTCAATGTAAGTCTTTTTAATGACTATTTTGACACAGTTCATTCAAGTATACTGATATCGATTCTTATGCTCCTACTCGTACCGCCGCTGTAACTTTGGTTGCGTTGTTTTATGTCATTACAAAATCTCACTCAACAGCTAACTCCATCCTCCATTCTACTCTAAAAAAAAGTTTACTGTAGTAGGTACACCGAGTACACATTATGAGTACGTAAGTTAAATATATCAGAACCGAAAATTTGGGCTTCTGTAAATTTTTCCTCTCTCCATATGGAACTATTAAAATCAAAGAATGTGCAATATGATATGCAATGTTATATTTCGTACAAATACTCATGTCATGCATACGTACCTACCATTAAGAAATCTTTGAAAAGTGCTCACTTTTGATCGACAAAGTTCCACAAACACTGTGTTCCCTTATGATGTTTTGTTTTACTTAAAAAAATATGTCAAAAACGATCAAAGCATTGGAAACGTACACTGTAAATAACATTCAATGTAATTGTTCCGTTGAATGTTTAGTTTAATTAAACAAAATATAATTAGCATAAATGATGTAGTGGAACAAAGCGGTTAATACAGACTATAAATAGCGCATTTCGTCATTGTATCGCTCTACTGGTAAGTTGGACTAAACGATACAAAAAACTGTTACGACTGCGAGAAGTTATTTTCAAAGTTAACAACTCTCGTTTCTTGCGGCGTTTTTCACAATTAGAGTTCGCTTTCAGTTCGCCAGATATTGTTCTAAATTCGAACTTTGTTTTTTTTTTATTGCACCACGAACGCAATGGAATTCCCTGTGTACGGCCGGCGTATATCGCCCTCGATTTAAAGGTTTTCAGGAAAAGCCGTGTAAAAATAGGAACCGATCGCACACGTGCGAGTATTTTTCCGTATACTTTTGTGTTATTTTTAATAGAAAAGCAAAAACATATTTATGTTCATTACATTCACAAATATTTAAGTGGGGCTACCATACAACAGGCTTCATTTTTGGCGAGAATAGAATAGAATTAAAAAAATAGTTATTGGTAAGAAACCCTTCGTGCACGAGTCCGACTCACACTTGGCCAGTTTTATTAAATCTGCCACCGTTCTTCTAACGGAAGAAGAGATTGTAGTAGGAAACTCCCGTAGGTCCTTTTTGTCATTTTTTCCCTCAAAAGATTAACATTACATTAAAATATAAATATAAATTAATAGACTGTTACTTTTTTTTTTCAAAAAAAAGCAATCAAATAGATAAACTTAGATTTGTTTTTAAATGCGTATTTAATTTTATTGGTATAAACGGCGCGACCCTCGAAGGCATTATCGAAAAGTACGTGATATTGAAAACATGCACCGTAAAGCGAAGTTTGAACAATGGTGTTAATCGCCTCAAATTCCCCACCCTGGCGGGGTCGAAAGAATAATTCGGGATGGATTCGTCGGCGGCACAATTTCACGGGCGCGTTGGCGCGAAAACGCGAGTGTTAGAATCTAATAGAACTTCAAAGGGCCGACGATTTCGCCACAATTCTATCAGCTTAGCGCGATATCCCCGGCATTACGCGTATAAAATGCGGTTATCGCGTACCCCCGCTCTCGGGGAGCGCACGAAGGGAGGAGTGGTGCCCTCCTACTGTAGAACCCCACTCGTGGTGCAGCCGAAAAAATACTTCGAGTACACCGACGGCTCTCCGTCCCGGGTGCAGTGGGGCGCCTTGCGAAGCGCGTAATGTAAAGTGTTTATAAGTAAAGTCAATTTCAGACACGTCCCGATAATATATGTACCAGGAACGCCCGTCTGCCGCCTGCATTGATCTCTTAAACGGTACTTGCCGATATATTCCAGATACGGCTGCAGTTTTCTACTCAACATACAGTTGTAAACAGAAAAAACTTCCCTCACAAAAGGATAAAAACCATTATCGCATTTTAGTATTACCACAAAATGTCGTATATAGTTGAAAATAAAAAGTTCTTGAATATAAGATACTTTAATTGAGATGAGCATTTACGTACTTCGAGGAACGTACCTTACGTTTAGTTTATATACTTAAGCTGTACGGAACGTTGTAAAGCAATATTAATAAGATACAGCAGTTACTGACTCCAAATTATTCCTAGAACTTAATAATGGTGAGTACACAAAGAAATTATTTTTCTTTCTGCGAAATTTAATACAATTAATAAAATGAATGTGCTATTTGTATATGCGCTAATGAAGGGCCCTAATTAAAAAAGCCCTCTGGTGCTCCTTACGTATTCATCCAGGCTAATTTACAATCCATAGAGAGATCAAGGCACAGATTATATTGGATTACAGACGGTTGACCTTTTTAATAAGTTTGCCGTAGCCTTCGCTGTATTAATTAAAACAGACAAATTTTTATTTTATCCATGATATATCAAATGTCTTGTCAGTATTTAAACCGTTCAGATTTGGTTAAGTAAAACATGCCTTATTCAAATTATTATCGGAAAAAATAGATAGTAGAAAAATAAAAAAGTTGGGTGCGATAAAGATAAATCATAAGCTAAGTCAAATTATGTTGTCGTGGACCTGCGATGGTGAAATTTTTCTCACGTCAGATATATGAAACAATATAAAACCGCCCAGCCACTAGACTATCACTGAATAAATTAATACACGAAAAAAATTCGAGATAACGACACGTTCTCTCACACTCGCCGGCGAACTTAAGTCGACTCTCGTGACCTTTTAAGTGCTTCTTCACAATACAAACATCGGCCGATCGACCTTAGGTCGGGCGTTGTGCAAACAAATATTGATCGATGACCGTGCCAAGACGCGTCCGTGGTCAAACAGCGTCGAGTGCGCTGGCCAATCGAACAGCCGCCTCGGCTCGCTACACCGCTGCCCGAGCATTCTCGAGCGTTCGCGTAAACAACTACGTTCGGACCATTTTTACCCGTGTGAAAGTTCCCCATGTTCGAGAATGATAGCTTTTTTTTTACATAAAAATGTGGCAAACGAGCTGGTGGCACACCTGACGTTAAGTGGTAACCGCCGCCGTGTCATATGAAACACCCGTAGGGTTGCGGAGGTCGCTATCTTTTAATTAAGTGGGCCCCAGCTACCTCACTCACCAGGCGAAGCGCAGAAGCATAACACTCCCACTTTACCCCGTACTTCTGTGAGGTCGTGGTACTTACCCGGACGGACCTGCCCATTCGTGCAACAGCAAGGACTTTGCGTGATCTCACCACAGTGAAAAAGCTCTGATGAAGGTATTCACGTGCTCGGATCGATTCATTGTGCCTAAATTCTCGTATAATTGTATTATTCCCTCTGCTACATTTAGTCGTAATACGACGGAACGTTTAAACAATACAAATACAGTAGTAACTTACAAACACATCACATTATACATAAATAGTAAGGTACATAAAGGCATTCAAGGTAAACTGGGCTTTGGCTACTGTAATACTCCAAGTTCCCAACTCGAGTTACAAGTGATAGGTTACGGGGCTTTTAAAAAAGTTAGTGGCCCTAAACTTGAAGCCGGGGAGGCAGATTTGCGCCCTCCAGCCGCCTCAAATCCAATCACTGTGCGCCGGCGAAGGACCCTGATTGCCGACGACAGTTTATTATCTAAGCCCCGTTAGTTTTTCCGAACCCTGACTAGTGACATCACACTGCGCTCGTTTCTGGACACGTTTTGACTCCTCAAATCTGTCCGTTAGAGAAAGTTGTAAAATAGAAATTTTTACACCCCAGTTCTCTGTCTTATGTTTCTCTAGACAACTGTGGTCGAGAAGACCAGTAACTGTGTGCTACTGTTTGGGTGGTGTCGGTGTTTACTTTGTTCGATTTTGATTTAGTTTTTTCTTACAAAACTGCCTCGACTACCGTCGACTACCGTCCCGACTTATTGTAATAAGTTGTATATCATTAGATTGTGAAACTCATTAAAATCTTTTTCACTCTGTTCAAGTCCTAGTTCCGAGGTTTTTAAGGTCAGCTAAAGTGGTAAAAGACTTATGTATTCATTTAAAAGCTGATGTCTTCTGATAACTATATCCGATATTCGTATCGTATTAAATACTAACGCAATGTTTAAACCCTCCATAGGTTGGTAAACTACGCGTCGATAAAATCTCTTTCATAAAATTTTGTACTTTCATTATATAAGTGTCCCTCCACATATATGGTCACTCGAGTCCGCACCTAGAGGTTTTACGTGATAAATATTTTTCATTTGTCCCCACGACCAACGGAAGTTTTACTTACAGCTCACAGTCTGCGTGCTTCTACGCACCTGACACTTCCGTTGCCGTCCAAGTATTTGTTTTCTAAACGCACACACGTGTAAAATACACCTACGTCTTAATATTTGCTGCGAAAATTGTCTTCGTGAATTGAAGTCTTCGTAATTTTATTAAAATAATTAAAACTTTATATTTATTGTGAAAGTATTGTGTTCTGTGATACATGTTTTCCAAAGATACGTTTATAAACAATTAACAAGTCGTAACTATCGTCGTGGGAACAAAACACGCTTAACCAAGCCTACCATTTAACATTTTATCAAATACTAAAACGTATACAATACCAGCTTATATTATCAATAAACAACAATACTTTACAAACTAAAACTAATCACACAAAAAAAACATTAATTCTAAGTATTTCACTACTAATTAAAAAAGCTGTGTCGTAGTAAAAAGTCGGTCACACTTTATATTCAATTGTTCTAATTTAAACTATTACTAGAGAAATTTTGTTCAACTAAAAGATCCACTATTCAAATGAGCTACATGAAAATAATCCCCGAAGCTGATTGTTTCACAAGTTCTCGCAGTGGGATCAAAGCGAACTGTACCGGCGAGGGTTCCTGAAAAAAAGTGTAATAAAAAACCGAAACTCGCATATATCGATATCTGTTGTATTCCTCGAGGGCGATGTTCGCACCTCCGAAATTTTATGTTTTCATAAATTTCCGCCTTGATCAATATTTTATATTCGCGCCCGCGGGGCGTTAGGGCCTTTTGCGCTTCCCACCCCCCTTTATGTATTCCGTAGCGAACCTCACTGGGTTTACGTGGCACAATCTGAATATAGCCTCAGCGTTTGCTGTCTCGTCCATTTTCTCAAACCGCTGCTGTTTGATTTCTTCTCAATCGTCATTTATCTTTTTAAGTCTATGAACATGAAATATTTTGACAGAGATATCGAAACAACCTGTTATGATCGTACATTTTTAATATACTCGTTTTTTTTTGTATTAATATAAAAGTAAATAATAACAATTCATAAAATTTATATAGTAATTTTACGAAAGGTTATGTTATTATTTAATTTTTAGGGTTCCGTACCCAAAGGGTAAAACCGAACCCTATTGTTAAGACTTCGCTGCCTGCCTGTCTGACCGTCTGTCACCAGGTTGTATCTCATGAACCGTGATAGTTAGACAGTTGAAATATTCACAGATTATGTATTTCTGTTGCCGCTATAACAACTTATACTAAAAAACAAAATAAAAAAATATTAAAGTGGGGCTCCCATACAACAGACATGATTTTTTTGCCGTTTTATAGATAATGGTACGGAAGTCCGATTCGCACATGCCCGGTTTTTTAAACATCTTTTTACATTGAACATAAAAAACAGGAGGGCACGAATTCCGAAGACGAAGGTTCCATTCCCACGGCGGCGAAAAACTTCTCGTACTTTTTCTACAAATTTAAACTAAAAATAACATTTTATAAATAATTGATCACTGAATCTTTTAACTGTTTAATAGAGTTTGAAAACAAGCCGAACATAAGCACTAGTGAATGACTTTAATTGCAAACATTACGCTCTTAAGTACAGGTCGATCGTTTAGGCTCCTCGTTGGGGACTTATTCCCCGTCAGCAAATGTAGGGCGCACGGAAACGATACGGGCGTAGGTCGGGGCGACAGTTGTGAGAGGCCCCGACGCGGGAAAAAACGCTCAGCAGCGGGACCGCCCGCCGGTAATCCTATTTACCCCGGCAAATAAATCACGCCCGCCGACAACGGACAATGCGTACGGACAGACAAACTATCCGAGCGGAGTACGCACCGCGGATTTGTCACCCGCCGATACGCGTAGCGATACGTGTTTTATGGACGCCGTAGCAAATAAATCGGCTACGCAATGCTTTATGGACGCCACCGCCGGTCTACGATAGTGGATAGCGTAGCACCGACCCACAATAAGAGGTTTGTCGACCATTACGTATCTAAGGATGTTGTGTGTATTCATCACTATTCGTAGATAGTCTCGTAGGTTTGTTTTGGCTATTCAGAGTTTGTGCTACAGGTGTTCAATCTCATATCACAAAAGTAATTTATGATAAGTAAATCGTTTTATAGATTTTTTAAATCATAGGTACATGACTGATGATAAAACAATCACACCTAAAATTAGGAAATTGGTTGGCGCATTGGCAAAGGTGGACTTGGACATCTTGGGTCGTGAATTCAATTCTCGTACGAGACAAATATTTGTATGACTTGCGGGGCAATTTTTCTAGAATAGGATACTAGTCGTAGAACCGATAGCTGGGGAATAAATTATCGAGTTATACGCTCGTATTAGCCATCGTAGTGTAGTGCGTCTAGATGGAGTAACCTATGTAAATACGCAGTAAGTCGATAGATGCATGTGGCTCAGGATCGCTTTTCAAGGCAGTTGGTGGGACAGGCCTATGTACTTAGGTAGGAACTCAACCCGCTTTTGA